AAATGATTTAATGTGAGCCTCAATTTTCCACATCTATAAAATGGAGATAACAGTAATGCCATTCCCAATTAAGAAGTTTAATAATTATGAATATAAAATATTCAGCAAACAAGTGAAATGAGGTATTTCATTCATTGCTAATGAGTACAAAGTGATAGAACCTTGTTGATGGGCAACTTGGCAATACAGAAAAATGTTTATGTTCACACAAAAATCTGTACATTAATGTTCATAGCAGCTTTATTTGTAATAGCCAAAAATCTGGAATTAGCCCAGATGGCCTTCTGCAGGTAACTGGCCAAACAAACTGTGGTATACTCATACCATAGAATAAGTAAAAGGAATGAACTACTGATACACATAAAAACTCAGACAGATCTCCAGGGAATTATGCTGCATGAAAAAAGACAACCTGGGCACAGTGGCTCACGCCTATAATCTCAGCAACTTGAGAGGCTAAAGCAGGCACTCCTCGAGGCTAGGAGTTTGAGCCCACCCTTGGCAACATAGAAAGGTCTCATTTTACATTCTACAAAAATTTAAAAATTAGTCTGGCAATGGTGGTAGACACCTGTAGTCTTAGCCACTTACAAGACTGAGGCTGGAGGATCCCTTGAGCCCAGGATTTTTTTATTTTTTAACTTTTTTTTTTTTTTTTTTGTATGAGATAGGGTCTTGCTCTGTCACCCAGGCTGGTGTGCAGTAGCATGATCTTGGCTTACCACAACCTCTGCCTCCCAGGTTCAAGAGACCTTCCCACTTCAGCCCCCCAAGTAGCTGGGACTACAGGAGCATGCCATCATGCCCAGCTAATAAGCCCAGGTTTTCGAGGCTGCAGTGAGCTATGACTGAGCCACTGTACTCCATCCTGGGTGACAGAGCAAGATCCTGTCTCTAAAACAATAAAAAAGACAATCCTAAAAAGTTATGTACTATATTACCCCATTTCTGAAACGATGAAATTTTAGAAGAAGACAGATTAGTGGTGTCAAAGGTTAGGGAGGGGATAAGGTGGGTGAAAGGGTAGGAGGTGTGATTATAAAAGGGCAACATGAAGAACTGTTGTGGTGTTAGTCAGCTTCTTGACTGTAGTTGTAGATACATAAAATTACACAAGTAATAAAATTGTATAGTACTTAATATATACACATATGGGAACAAGTAAAGCTAGAGAAATCTGGATAAGACTGGTAGATTATATCAAGATCAACATTCTGGTTATGGCATTATACTATAGTTTCATAAAATGTTGCCATTTGGTGAAAGTGGACAAAATGTACAAGAGACCTCTCTGTCTCTGTATTATGTCTCACAGCTGCATGTGGATCTACTATGATCTCAATTTTAAATGCCTTGATAGATTATTAATGTCTCTGTTGGGTATAGGAGGGAATAGGGGCCGCCTTGTGTTTCTAGTGTAGAATTCCAACGAGGAAGACTAATAAATATTATTCTCATTAGGGCACATCAATAAAATGAATATAACCATGGGAAGTGGGTATTTGTATCCATCGACCAGTAATTCCACTTCTCAGAATTACTTCTTTAAAATGCACAAAGGCCGGGCGCAGTGGCTCACGCCTGTAATCCCAGCATTTTGGGAGTCCAAAGCAGATGGATCACCTGAGGTCAGGAGTTTGAGACCAGCCTTGCCAACATGGTGAAACCCCATCTCTACTAAAAATACAAAAATTAGCCAGGCATGGTGGCAGGCGCATGTCATCTCAGCTACTTGGGAGGCTGAGGCAGGAGAATCACTTGAATCCAGGAGGCAGAAGGTGCAATGAGCCGAGACTATACCACTGTACTCCAGCCCAGGCAATAAGAGCAAAAATCTGTCTCAAAAAATAAATTAAATAAAATGCATAAAGTTTTATTTGTTTGGATATTCACTGTGATATTTCTTACAACAGCAAAAATACCTAAATGATTCAAAATAGGGAATGAGCCTTATAAATCACAGCATATCCAGAGGATGAAATACTCCATAGGCTTCAAACATACTTTAAAACACACACACACACACACACACACACACACATAAATAAATAAATAATAAAAATAAAATAAAAAACATACTTGGGATAAAAAAAAGCAACCACACTCGGCAAGGTGCGATGGCTCAAGCCTGTAATCTCAGCACTTTGGGAGGCTGAGACGGGTGGATCACAAGGTCAGAAGATCGAGACCATCCTGGCCAACATGGTGAAACCCCATTTCTACTAAAATTACAAAAATTAGTGGGGCATGGTGGAGCATGCCTGTAATTCCAGCTACTTGGGAGGCTGAAGAAGAAGAACTGCTTGAACCAGGGAGTTGGAAGTTGCAGTGAGCTAAGATTGCACCACTTTGCTCCAGCCTGGTGACTCTGTCTCAAAAAAACAAAAACAAAAACAAAAACACAACACTCAGTACAATGCCGGCCACAGAAGCATCAATAAATGGAGTTCTCCTAACTGGGTTGTTTTGGGTCTCAAAAGAGCTAATGTAGATCAATGTAATTGACAAACTGTGAAGTGCCTAGCAAATACTAGTTGTTGCTATCCTAATGACTATCTCTCCCAGCTCCATCCTGGATGAAGCTGAACCTCTAGGCAGAACAGTGGCCAAGGTACTCTGGCTTGAGAGACATAGGAATGGGGGAACTGATTTCTTGCGGAGTCTGAGTTAAGGATTGGGACTACTTTCTTTCCAGAGGATGGCCACCCCTACTCTACATCATGTAAAAAACTACAGACATTCTCCCCAGCATATGCACATACATTTGGCCGTTAATCTCAGGGAACCCACAAAGTCTTTGAAGCAATGTCAGCCCTACTAACTTCATAAAAGTAGTAGTACTCTATTGCACAATCCACTGTTGAGTAAGCATCTACTGAGTATCAGGCACTGCTGTAGGTGATTTACACACATTATTTCATGAAATTCTCACAACAAATTTAAAGAGTAATTGTTTATCTGCATTTTACAAGAAAACCAGGACTCTGGGCTGGGGGCAATGTCTCATTCCTATAATCCCAACACTTTGGGAGGCCAAGACAGGTGGATCACAAGATCAGGAGATGGAGACCATCCTGGCTAACACGGTGAAACCACATCTTTACCAAAAATACAAAAAACTAGCCGGGCATGGTGGCATGCACCTGGTAATCCCAGGTACTCAGGAGACTGAGGCAGGAGAATCACTTGAACCCGGGAAGCAGAGGTTGCAGTGAGCCGAGACTGAACCACTGTACTCCAGCCTGGGTGAAAGAGCAAGACTCTGTCTCAAAAAAAAACTAGGACTCAAAGAGGTTAAGTGACTTACCAAGGTAGCACAGCTGGTAAGTGGCAGAGCTGGCACTGGAACCCAGGGCTATCTCCAAAACTTGTGATCTAACCACCACACATACTATATTACATTAGAAGAACTGAGAAGTGGTGCACTGTGTGGAAACTGTGCTGAGGCTGTCTGCAAGAGGCCTGGAAAACTAACCTTGTTTGTCCAATGCTCCTTAGGGAGACACAAACACAAACCAGCAGGCAGAAGAAAAATCTCAGAAGAGAATCAGGCCCAATCTGAAGTCTTTCATCCCATGAGTAAGTTTTTCCATATGTCTACCCTCTATCCTTTCTGCTAAAATCTGATGCCTTTTGCTCTCTTCTGTTTCCAGCGAGGATGGTGAGTAGAAGACTTAGTGTCCTCCATAAAAGGTCAAGAGAGGACAGAGGGGGCTTTTCTTTCCCCAGCTGTGTTGAGGCCATAACTAGGATGCCCCTACCTTCTTGGTCTCTTTGATCTGCCCCAAGGTATCAAACTAGAAGACACAGGAGAAAATGACCAGGAAAGACAAGAAAGCAGCAGCAGCATAACCAGACCAAAAAGACCAGCTTGGAGAATGGCCTGGGGGTCTCTCAGGATCTTAGTGCTGGGCTCAGGTGACGTTAAGGTGGGCAGTGTTTCCCACCAGGCTCAGCAGCGAGCTTCATGTCTGACATCTACCCAGCTGTAGAAGTCCAGCCAGCATTTCTCAAGCCAGTGCCTCTTGTTTGTCTTGATATAACATCTCTACAGCTACCTCTCTCTCAGACATAAAGGAAGGAACTGGCGGTTCTGCCACTCTGGATTTACCCCTCTATTTCAACACTACCTTGCTATATTTGCACAGGTGCAGGCAACCCAACTGGTGGCTTTAGAGATGCCCAGGGAAGATCATAATTTTGTGAGGAGATGATAGGATCCCAAGGCTAGATCCAAAAGAGCTCTTCCAGGATCTCCAGGCTAGGTCCAAATTTCTTTCCTTTTTTCTCCACTGAGAGCCAGGAGGGCAGCGGGGTCCTAAGACCAGACACATAGAATGGAGGGGAGGGGTGTCATTGCCCCTTCCCTCTTCCACACATTATTCTACCCTGCTGGTGCCCAAGCATGCCTGCTGCTCACTTGGCTTCCCTTAGCCTATCTACCCTATGGACAAGAGAGGGTTAAAGGCATGGTATGGGCAAGCTATAAATTTCCCATCAGTGTGGGGAGAGCAGGATTGTTGGCAGGGAGGGGGTTGGGTTGGGGGGAGGGGGAGCTGGGAAAAAGCCAGGAGGTTGTCTCTAGGTAACAATAAACACTGCAAGCAAGGAGCAGCTGTTACACTTACTCTCTCTGCATCACAATGCTGAAATAACACTAATAAACCAGTGTGCCCAATGCACAGGCATACACGTATTTAGGGCTGAGACCCCACTGTACCCCTACGGCTGCCCTCTGCTCCAGGGCAGGGCCCTTCATGGCAGTGGACATACCTGTCCTGGCCTCAGTATACTTGTGGGGAAGGATGAAGACTGACAAGTCCTCCCCACTCCAGTGGAATTCTCAGGGTTAGAGTGATGATGGAGGCTGGATATCCTGGGTTCAGATCCTGGTGGCATTCACTGGAAAGAGTTGAAACAGGGGTAGTTCTCGGTTGGGAGCTGGGAGGAGAGGAAGAGAGTGAGAGAGAGAAAAGCATAGGGAACAGACAACTACTTACCATGTCCTCTCAGACTGGAGGGGATGAGGTGGCCAGGAATGGAGGTGGCCAGGAATGGAGCTGGCTATAGAGAGGTGAAAGAAAAGGTGGGCAGAAAATAAGGTTTGAGAAAGTAGAGGATTAGGGAATGTGATATCATGGCATGTTTTTTTTTTTTTTTTTTTGAGACTCAGTCCCATTCTTTCACCCAGGCTGGAGTGCAATGGCATAATCTCGGCTCACTGCAACCTACAGCTCCCAGGCTCAAGCAATCCTCCCACCTCAGCCTCCCAAGTAGCTGGGACTAGAGATGTATGCCACCTCACCTCACCTAATTTTTTTTTTTTTTTTAATTGTAGAGATGAGGTTTCACCATGCTTCCCAGGCTAGTCTCGAACTCCTGAGCTCAAGTGATCCTCCCATCTTGGCCTCCCAAAGTGCTGGGATTATAGGCATGAGCCACTTTGTCTGGCCATAGCATGATTCTGTTATCTCACCTGGGGCTGAACTCCCTACACCTGCCTAACCTGACCTGGTGGACCCAAGCTCCCCGTCAACAGTACTACTTTTATACCCAGGGCCAGCTGTTGGTTTAGTTTTTAGTTCAGGACTGAGCTTATTATGCAGGGAATCTGGGGCTTCTGTTAGTGCTGGGGAGAGCTGGGGGAGTGGAACTGTTCTGGTCTTCCTGCACAAGGAGTGGCTAGTCGGCTGTCCTTTTTCTAACCAAAGCCATCTCTGGATCACCAGGACCAAGTGAGCAGAGGTTCCCTTATCCTGGCAGGAGAGTAGAGCTGCCAGCAATGAAAGGAACAGAAATAGGCAAATGAGAACTCAGGCTCTGTCACAGACCCTCCTCCTCTTAGCCCATCCTTCTCTGAGAATGGGATGTTTATTATTATGTGTCTGTATCTGGATATACTAGCAACCAAGATCCCTATGACTCTCTCTCTTTTTTTTTTTTTTTTTTTTTGAGATAGAGTCTCACTCTGTTGCCCAGGCTGGAGTGCAGTGGCGCGATCCTGGCTCACTGCAACCTCCATCTCCCAGGTTCAGCAATTCTCCTGCCTGAGCCTCCTGAGTAGCTGAGACTATAGGCACACACTACCATGCCCGGCTTATTTTTGTGTTTTTAGCAGAGATAGAGTTTCACCATGTTGGCTAAAATGGTCTCAGTCTCCTGACCTTGTGATCCACCTGCCTTAGCCTCCCAAAGTGCTGGGATTACAGGCATGAGCTATCACGTTCAGCCATCCTAACTGTTACTCTTTACCAGATCCAGTCACGGGCCCCTGGGACTGGAGTCCAAGGTATGTATGGTTCTCCGGGTCCACTTTCTGGCCTCTTTCTCCTGGTGTGATCTCAAACACAGTACCCTATTATCCCCCTGATCAGAAAGAATGGAGACAATGCATACTGCCCACCTGGCACATAAGGGAGGAGGAAATTTACATTTCTGAAGATCTATGGTTCTGCACCCATCTCCACAGCCTGCACCACTACTCTGATTCAGCCACCCTAGCTGCTTCTCTCTTGTCACAGGTGTCTGTTTCCAGAAAGGAGAGTACTGAGACCCAGCAGTTATCATTCTAGGTTCTGGTGCTGTAAAATAACTTTTAAAAAATTTTTTTTTGAGGCAGTCTTGCTCTATCACCCAGGCTGGAGTGTAATGGTGCAATCTTGGCTCACTGCAACTTCTGCCTCCTGGGTTCAAGTGATTCTCCTGACTCAGCCTCTTGAGTAGCTGGAATTACAGGCATGCACCAGCTAATTTTTTGTATTTTTAGTAAAGACAGAGTTTCACCATGCTAGCCGGGCTGGTCTTGAACTCCTGACCCGCCTCAGCATCCCAAAGTGCTGGGATTACAGATGTGAGCCACCATGCCTGGCCAACATAGCTTTTTTTACTTCTAAAAATTTAGTGTTAGCTGGGTACCTTGTCTGGACAGGCAAGGAAGGGTAGAGAGAAGTAACTGTATTTGCCTAGAAAGCTCCCTCTTCTGGAAGGTGCCCACGGGCACTGAGCTACCCTAGCACAGGTGGATGCCCCAAAACGTCTGTGCAGCCAATGAATACAGTAGGGCAAGAATAACTGGCCTCTCCTATCCTTTCCTCACTGAGACACCTCTAACTGGGAATGCTCAGCTTCCCCTGCTCTCTTCTCTCCCATTTCCCTCTCTTTTTTCATAGTTGGGGCCTTCCCTGCTCCACAATCCAGATGAGGGACCTTCATCTACAGAGTTCCGAGTGGGGAGATAGAAGGCCAAAGAGAGCTCTAACAGGCCTGGACTCCTTCTCCTCCACTCCAGGTGGAGTGTGACCCACCTCCACGGCTGTGAGTCACCAGAACCTTGAGCTTGCTGAGCTACCAGCAGCCTTCTAACTCTTTCCTTCCTCTAGCCAGGCAGATATGTACCCAATGGGCCCCAGAGCCTGCCATCTTCCTACCTTCATGGCCACAGACTCCTCCTTCATTTCTAGGAATCTGCAACATAGAAGCATGGAAATGAGTGAGCAAAGGAGTGTGAGACCTCAGCATGTGCTCTGTGATGGGGTAGAGAGCCGGCTGCCTGCACAGCAGAGCAGGATCACTAGCCAGGCGAGCTGGCACACTTGGGCACACAGCCCTGTCAGCATGCGAGAGGGGAAGCAGGAGAGGATGGGGTAAGAATGCTGTTTCAGGAGCAGGCATCTCCTCCTGGCTTCTTCTCTGGTCACTTTCTTCTCCTTGGCCTTTCTCGTTGGGTGCTGATGGATACCATGGCACTGCCCCCTCTATCTACCCCTTTCTTGGCCTTCCTTTCCCTTCTCCAGGGCTTTGGAAGCCACAGAGAGAGGACCTGCAATACAACTTCCAAGGTGTCAAGATGGGAGGTTTAGACGTCCAGATCTCTCTTGAATGGGAAAATTTAGGGAAGAAGGAAGAAAGAGGTCCTATTAGAGTAAAAGCTAAACCCTAAGCTAACATTGAGCACCTCACCTAGTCCCTTTTCTCCAGAGTGCAGGAAATTCTGGATACTACCATTTTTAACTTTCACTCACTTCAAGTCTACCCCTCTTCCCCACAAAGACCTGGCACCCTTGGCTAAACATTAGGAATGGGAGGCCAAGCCACACTCCTGTAATCCCAGTACTTTGGGAGGCCGAGACAGGTAGATTACTTGAGGTCAAGAGTTTGAAACCATCCTGGCCAACATGATCCCCATCCCTGTCTCTACTAAAAATACAAAAATTAGCTGGGCATGGTGGCACATGCCTATAATCCCAGGTACTCAGGAGGCTGAAGCAGAAGAATCACTTGATCCTGGGAGGCTGAGGTTGCTGTGAGCTGAGATCAGGCCAGCACTCCAGCCTGGCCAACAGAGTGAGACTTCATCTCAAAACAAACAAACTGGCCGGGCTTGATGGCTCATGCCTGTAATCCCAGCACTTTGGGAGGCCGAGGTGGGCAGATCACAAGGTCAGAAGATCAAAATCATCTGGGCCAACATGGTGAAACCCCATCTCTACTAAAAATACAAAAAAAGTAGCTGGGCATGGTGGCACACGCCTGTAGTCCCAGCTACTTGGGAGGCTGAGGCAGGAGAATTGCTTGAACACAAGAGGCGGAGATTGCAGTGAGCCGATATCGTGCCACTGCACTACAGCCTGGGTGACAGTGGGAGACTCTGTCTCAGAAAGCAAACAAACAAACAAACTTTCAATGCATTCACTTCAGAGAGGAAAAAAAAAGAAAGAAAAACAACAACAACAAAAACCTCAGGAGTGAGAGGCAGATGTGATAGAAGTTACAAGAAAGGAGGCTCTGTTCCTTGGAGAAACACCCAGAATATAGACTGAATGCTTTTAGGGCCTTTTAGCCCTAGCTCCTGCAATATGTTAAAGTAGGGATGGACAAGGGGTGAAAAAGAGGGCTTACAGAAAGCCTGCCACCCTCTCTTTCAATGCATGCTCCTTTCCACTGCTGTGTGTTCCAGAGTAGAAACAGCAGCTCTGTAAACAGCAGTCACTTAATAAATCCTACCAACAATACTTGCTCCAAATGTCCTGCCACACATTAGGCAGCCAGCCCCGCAGATGGGACCAAGTCTCAGTTCCCAAACTTCACCCTCTGCCTTGTCAGCACTTTTATCTGCTCTCCCCTGACAAGAGAATCTTCCTTTCCAGTCCCTTGGCACAGCCGTCCTCCCCTGCTAACACCTCTGGGGCCCTCAGAAGTAGGCAAGGGGTCCTAGATGAATTCTTTCCAGACTGTTTTAGAGGGATGTGAGGGGAGCTCTTCTCATCCTATCTGCAGTCGAGAAGGCAGACAATGAGACAGCCAAGGAAATGACTCCGAATCTGAAGGCAGGGCTGGGTGAGGCTAGGGGCACTTAGAGAGGCAGACACTGCTCTTCTCAGAGGATTTGGGGATATAAAATGGGGAACAGAAGGCAACTCTTGGTAGGGGAAGGGTGTTGGGGGCCTAGGGAATGTGACAAAGTTTCTACCGGCACTGCTTTCTAAGCTCTGTGCCTATCCTTGCCCCAACCCTAAATTAGTCTTATGAAGCATGGAAATAAAAATGTTGAGTTTTCTGAGGAAGGAGTAGTATACCAAGAAATCCCACCTTGGAAACCTAGTGGGAGAGTCCCCTTTCTCCTTCATTCTTTCCCTCCTTAAACCTAGCATGTGAACAGTGAAGGAAGCAAGGGGGTGGGGATGGGTACAGCTGGAAACTTGCTCCTCTCTCCAGTACATCAGCACTACAAGAGCCACAAAGGTGCCTAAGAGCTCTAAAGCCATAGCACCGCATGAATTTAGGAACATTTCTAATTCAGTCTTCAGGGCCTTGAATTTAAATTCTGTCTCTGTTCTAGGCTTCGCCATGAGACAAGAAGTATAAGACTACTCCTTAATACATTTTTTGGCATAAGTTTTCTCCCGTGGATTATAGTAAAGCAGGGAAATATGTGATAAGATTTCAAAAAAAGCTGATACTTAGTCTTGGCTGGGGGATTTGTTTCTTGGGTAAGGAGGTGAAGTAACTAATGGACATCCTTCCCTGTAGATCTTATAATACATGGTAAAATTCCACAGGGATCAGGGGTTGTAGGGGATTTTCATACTTGTAAGCAAGAAAATGGATGAGATGACCTCTGGAACAGGCTGTACAGAGGGAATGTCCTCCCAGCAGTGCTCCATAGAAGCTGAACCTGTCCATGACTCCCCTAAGGTTGCTTCTAAGGCAAGGGACAGAAACTTTAGACTTCAAGCAATGGAGAATAATATCCTGCATACCTTCTTTCCTTGACTTTCCTCCCCCAACACCTACCTACCTTTCCTCTTCCTGTGTTCCCAGAAATTCTCCAAATCCAGGAACACAAAGCAATTCCAGAACAGGATTCAAATGATCTCCTCTCTCTGGGTCTTGTTTTTCACATCTGTAAAATGAAGGAGTGGGGCAAGATAAGCTCCAAATTCCCTTTCTTTTTTTTTTTTTTTCTTTTTTTGAGATGGAGTCTCCTGCTACTCAGGCTGGAGTGCAATGGCTCACTGCAACCTTGACCTTCTGGGTTCAGGTGATCCTCCTAACTCAGCCTCCCAAGTAGCTGGGATTACAGGCACAAGCCACCAGGCCTGGCTAATTTTTTTTTGTATTTTTAGTAGAGATGGGGTTTCACCATGTTGGGCAGTCTGGTCTCAAACTCCCAACCTCAGGTGATCCACCCGCCTCGGCCTCCCAAAGTACTGGGATTATAGGCGTGATCCACGGCGCTAGGCCGGTCCATAGTTCTTGTACTCTCTCTACAAGGACCTCAAAGCTCTGTCCCCACCTTCCTTTCACAATTTTACAGTACTCCCTGAGACAAGCCCGAGCAGACAAAACCCCAGGAGCAAGAAAACAGCCTCACCTCATATTCTGGCTGTGATTTTGGGCTGCAGACCTGAGTCAACAGTATAGTTCCCATCCGTTTGGAGGTCCTGGCATTTGGGGGGAAATCCTGGCACCTCTCCCCAGTGCCTCCCCTCCTCCACCTCACTATTCTCCATGCCAGAACGCAAAGTGGCCAGTGATTGATGGGCCTGGGTTCCCGGTAACCGCACCCAGTGGCCCAATCCTCCTCCCTTACCCAATCCCTCCCCTGTCCCTATTCAGATATCAGATTGTCTCATTTTGGTCCCTGAGGTCCCATTAATTAAAAATACATCCAATTAAATGGCAGGTGAAAACGTGCTATTGGAGCTCTATACCCCCCTGCCCCAGCTTGGTCTCTTCACCCCCCCAACCCCCCTTTTAAGGCTCAGCTGTGCTTTGAGCTGAGAAAAAAGAGAGAGAGAGAGAGAGAGAGAGAGAGAAAGCATGAGGGAGAGAGTAGAGGAAGACATGGGGCAGGGTATGATGGGGGGGTTATTTGATCCTCTGCCAGGGTAGCATGTGCCAGCCTGGGAGGGTGGCACCGTGCCCTGGTGTCTAATTTCTGGAGGTGTGAGTAGGTTCAGTCAGCTGGGTACCCAACTCCATTTCCCTTAAAGGGGCAGAGGGCAGTCAGAGGGTATAGCTAGCTATAATGCCCTCCCTTTAGGCTTTGCAGATGAAGGGCAAAAGTGTAGATGGCAGAGGGTTGGGGCATGTAATAATCAAGGACTGGGAGAGTCTGAGGCCTCCACTTTTGGCATATCTCTGCTCTTCCCCAAACTGGGAAATATATAACGAGGAGCAGGCTGAGACCCAGGTGGCAGGGCATGGCGATGCTTCCCAAGCCTGGCTGTGCCTACCCCTGCCCACAGGAAAGCTGAGAGAGGAATGAAGGGAGGGAGGAAGGAGCCATAACTTGGGTGGGAGCAGATGGGTCAGACAGGATAAAATATGCAGAGAGAGATGTTCATGTGGGCACCATGTCCCCTAGCACTTTATAGGTAAAAGACCTATCCTGTTTGCTTTTTATCTAAGCAAAAAGAAGGAGCAGAGCAGTAGCATGAAGTCACCTTGGCCTGGCTGCCTGGCAGGCGGTGAAGTCAGTGCTTGATGAGCACTGACTGCTCTCATTCTCCTCTATACTTACGGTGTCCCTAGCATGTTGCCAGGTAAGGCATTTTGCCCCACTTCACCCCTCTGTAAAGACCTCTGGCCCCAAGTAATACAAAGCTAATGGGCACTGAAAGCTGTTGGGAAAGGAGCTGGGAAAGTAGGGGTGACTAAGGGTGACACTCAGAATCCAGGCAAGAGTGGGGGTTTTGCCAACCCAGGGCCCCCGCCTGGCCTCCTTGGCAGCCTCAGCACCTCCTCACTTCACTTTAATGCTAATTGGAGATTTTAATCTGCACTGCTGCTCTGCTCAGGGTGCTGGGGGGAGCGCCAGCTGTGCAGTAATTCCAGCAGCACCGACTGTTTAATCAAGCTGTCCTCCTGGGGAGGGGCCCTCAGGCATAGGGGTAGGAAGGAGGAGAATAACCTCTGTCATCTCCCTTAGCCTGTTCAGCCTGGAAGAGCTTCGTGGAGACGGAGGGTCAATTGTGGAGTCCTCAGTCCCACGGAGCCCCCATGGCCATTTGGCACCCCTAGCAGAAACATTGTGTGATATGGGTGGATATGCATATACTCACCAAAAGCAGCCTACTGGGCCAAAGCAGCCTATCCTCCTATCTAGCTCCCTGACACCATTTTTGGCTCAGAGCCCTAGAGTGTCCTGGGGTGTATTCCAGTCACTGAGGCTGCAAACGTCCACTAAACCATCTTGAAGTCTATAGGTTTGTGCTGAGGTAGGTGACAGGGCGACTTAGCTCTCCCAGGCTTCAATCACCCCAACACTTTCTCACTAACAAAGATACTTTTCTTAGAACAATTCTAAGATATTTTTTCCCCTAAAAACCACAGACACCTCCACCTTCTGGGTCAGAAAGTGACTGCCATTAAGGCAGGGGGACAGGGAGGCATACAGCTGGAACGGCTACACCTGAGGGAGAGAAGTACCTGTGCAAGGTGTTCAGTACTTGGAAAGAGGGGGCTTCCCAAGTACAGCTAGAAGCAAATTGAGATGTCAGACCATTAGGGCAAAGTGTTTAGGGGTCTCAAGTCATTTTAAAGGAAGAACAAGAGGTACAAATTATTTGTCTCATATTTGGGGCCCTTGTTCTCTCAGGGTGTTTCTGACCCCTGTTTTGGAGAAAGGGTACCCTCATCCCCAAACTGTTAAGGGGCAGGAGTTTTAATTGGCCAGCAGTGCCCTCGTGTGGCAAAAACCATGACTGCAGCTGCCCAACTGGCAGGGCTATTCTGTGCGATCAATTAACCTGGTAGACTGATATGTAGACAAGTTATAAACGCTGGTGCTCAAAGTACCCCATGAATACTTACTGCTTGACTACATCCAGGGATGTTTCTTGCTAACACCTGCCCTCTGTCTACTTCGGCCCACCTGCTTCACCTCTAACGCAACCCATACGCCTACCAGGAAAGGGAGCACCTTGCCCAGAGGTGGCACTTACTTGAGCTGCTGCTTGTGCTGTCTGGATTGCAGGGATAAGAGAGGCACTGCAGAGAGAGAAGGCCTAGGGTCAAGAGGACAAACTGATGTTACCTCCTATGGCCAGGAGGCAGGGAGATCTCTGCCCATCCTGACCCCCAACTCTCAATAGGCCCCAGAGGAGAGCTGACACCTGAGTTCAAGACAGTAACACCTAGTAGTTGATTCTGCTTTATGGCCGTCTATTCTCCACTCCCTGGAAGCATCTGGGAATGAGTATGGATGGATTCTCAGAGCCTAAGATCCTGGTCCTGGGAAATAGACACTAGATAAAGCATCTTTCCTTTCAGAGCAGTCTGGATAACATTAAAAACAAACACACACACAAAACCTATTCCCTCAAAAGATCCAGGTACTCTCCCAGGGTAGCAAGTAACTAGGAAGAATGCACATCTGCAGCTTCAGACTTCTGGCCCGGAAGAAAGTCTCCTTGTCATTAGACTCTTCCTCTCCAGTACCAAATGCCTTCTGTTTACCAGTACCTTCCCACACCCACTAAATGGAAAAAAAGGTTATGAACTATAGAAAAGGGATGGACATTTGATATAAGGAGGTAGCAGCTCTCTAAAGACTTGGGCTGGAAGTTAGGAAGACATACAGCTGAGTCACCAAGGCCTTCCCCTTGTTGGAGACATTTAATAACAGAGAAAAATACTACCAGAGAGAAACATAACCTTGTTTGGGGTTGATGGGTAGGGGAAGCAGCACACCTACCAGCAAGCAAGGAAGGTGGGTGTAGGCACAGGAGGCTGGTGACCTGCCCCATCTAGGCACTAGAGATGGAGGAAGCAAGCTTGCAGGCCTCTACTTCTGGTGTCTCACACAGTGTTTGGAGAGGTGGAATTTCCCACTGAACCTGGAAAGGAGGTGAAGAAGCTGATTAGAGGTAGTGAGAGGGGACAGAACTGCCCTATCTTGACTCAGAAGAAAGGGATAGAAAACAGCTTTTTGTGCTTGCTTTAGCAGCACATATACTTAAAAAAATGCAATGATACAGAAAAGATTAGCACAGCCCCTGTGCAGTTCCATAAAAAGGAAAGGAGGAAAAGAGGGAGGGAGGGAGGAAGAAAGGAAAGAAGGAAAGAAGGAAGGAAGGAAGGAAGGAAGGAAGGAGGGAGGGAGGGAGGGAGGGAGGGAAGAAAGGAAGGAAGGAAGGAAGGAAGGGGGAGGGAGGGGAAGAAAAGCTTTTTGGGGCTGGGCATAGTAGCTCAACGTCAATAATCCCTGCACTTTGGTGAGTCCAGGAATTCAAGATCAACCTGGGCAACATGGTGAAACCCTGTCTCTACTAAAAATACAAAAAATTACCCAGACGTGGTGGCACATGCCTCTAGTTCCAGCTACTCAGGAGGATGAGGTGGGAGAAATCACCTGAGCCAGGGAAGTTGAGGCTGCAGTGAGCTGTGATCACGCCACTGCACTGCAGCCTGGGCAACGGGAAAGAAACCCTGCAGGAGTGGGTATATAGATGGCATTGTGGGCTAGTGGGATAGCTCTCCTGGAGGACAGGGCTGAGAGTAACCCAGTAACTGACATCAGAAACCCACTGTAGAGCAACATCCATTAGCACAGCTGGACAAGAGGAAAGAACAGGAACGCCAAGAAGGGGGTTACCTGATCTAGTTGGAAGGGAAAATCTATTAATCAGAAGGTAGAACACCAGAAAAGGGTCAAATTAAAAGCTAAGAAAACTCCTCTGGAGATCTTTTGGAATAAGAAACTTCCCTAAGATCGTCTGTTATCCCAGCCACTCAAGAGGCTGAGGAACGAGAATCGCTTGAACCTGGGAGGCAGAGGTTGCAGTGAGCCAAGATGATGCCACTGCACTCTAGCCTGAGCGACACAGTGAGACTCTGTCTCAAAAAATAATTAAAAAAAAAAAAAAACCTTCTCTAAACCAGGGGTAGTTGGGGTGGGGGTAGGGACATCCCATACAAAAGTAGGTCAGTGGCCTCTGATTGGCTTTAGGTCCCTACCTGGCTTGGCTTTAGGTTCTGTGAAAGAGAATGAATTTGTCAGGCTCTGGATGAGAGGTGACTGATGGACATCACTGCATTCCTCAGAGGCCATTCCAGCTCTTGCTGCTACCTGTAAAGGAAAATGGCAGGTTACATTAGACATGAGATAAGGAACTAAATACCAAAGAGCATCTTTGGTCTTGCACCCAGGGAGCATGGAATTGGTAGGTAACAGCGATGGTGAGGTTGGCACTCTTCTAACTCCTTCAAACCTGAATTCCCCAGAAGGATTCAGACTAACCTTAGTATACTCCCAGAGAGAGTCATAACTGTTCTAAAATTCTTGTCTCCAAAGACCTAGCTCCCAGGCTGATAAAAGCAAAACCACAGTTCTTAAAGTCAGGAAATTCAACAGAAACAGAAACTATGAAACCCAGAATCATAAAGGTCAATGAAGGTTAATGGTTAATATAAGGCTAATAGAAAAAGGTGACTGGGAGGAGGCCACCTAGTTTTAGATCAGATCAACAGCTTGGACTTATGGCTCTCTCATCCATAACAGCTTCTTCAAGAAAGGCTCTAAAGCAAAAAAGCATCCTGACTGTGAGAAAGGAGGTTTGTAGGACAGCAGACTTAATGTAATCTGGACAAGCAGGTCTATCATACATTTCCTAGAGACAAATTTACATGGGGACCAGCTCCACATGTCCTCTATGCTATCCATCAGGATTCATGAACAAAATGTAAAGGATATGTAGGATATGTACTGGGATCTATTTCTTCATCAGCAGCAGACAATATTCATTTTGCAGATCCCCAGTACCTCTCCCCTACACCATTAACTCTTTCTAATCTGCCCAGCGATGGCCTTCTCCCTTCAGGATTCTGCTTCCAGCCTAGGCATGCTCCAGCATTCCCCTCTCTGCTCATCAGTGGCTCCTAGACTCATATGCTCAGAGAAAGCCAGCACTGGAAGGGATGGGTAGATACATCCAGAAGAGGTCTTAAGAGGGAAAGGGCATCTTGGCACAAGACTGAGGTGACTTACAGAACCTGCAATGAGGGTCAGCCAACTGAACACTATGTAGGGTATTTAGGTCACTGTAGAGCACCATATACCAACTTCCTTCTGCCTCATCAAAGGAGAATACCAAACAACTCAAAACTTAAAAAAATAAAGGAGAGGAGAAGAAGATCCCCTTATCATTTTCCTGTAATCTCAAAGCACACCTCTTTCTGCTGAGTTCTATCATCTCATCTCTCATTCAGGGACCCCTCCTCACATCTTAGGTTTCTAGCAGATGTGTTTTCTTTCTCCATTCCCTTTTTCTTTTCAATATAGCTGTACTGTAATGCAAAAGAGCTTCAGTTGAGATTTAGTATTAATTCCTCACATTGCCTCTGAGGATCTTTTCCTGCTATCCAACCACCAGAGATGGCTACAAAGTACTCTTTGAAGTTTGGGTTAACTCTGAGGGCATCACGATCTTTGGCTGTGGCTGCCATCTGCTTCCCAATGAACCAGAACTCTTGACTTTAAATAAAAATAACACTTGTACAATCTGCATGTCTTTGAAACATTATTCTTAGGCCCGGCATGGTGGCTCAAGCCTGTAATCCCAGCACTTTGGGAGGCCGAGACAGGTAGATCACCTGATGTCAGGAGTTCAAAATGAACCTGACAAACATGGTGAAACCCTGTCTCTACTAAACAATACAAAATTAGCTGGGCATGCTAGCACACACCTGTTATCCCCACTACCTGGGGGGCTTGAACCTGGGAGGCGGAGGTTGCAGTGAGCCGAGATCACACCATTGCACTCCAGCCTGAGCAGTAAGAGAGAAGCTGTCTCAAACAAACAAAAACAGGGCAGGTGCGGTGGCTCACGCCTGTAATCCCAGCACTTTGGGAGACCAAGGCAGGGGGAATCACAATGTCAGGAGATCAAGACCAGCCTGACCAACATGGTGAAACCTGTCTCTACTAAAAATACAAAAATTAGCCAGATGCAATGGCACACACCTGTAATCCCAACTACTCAGGAGGCTGAGGTGGGAGAATTGCTTGAACCTGGTAGGCGGAAGCTGCAGTGAGCCAAGATTGCACCATGCACTCCAGCCTGGATGACAGAGCAAGACTCTGTCTCAATTAAAAAAAAAAAAAAAAAAAAAAGCTCACGGCTGTAATTCCAGCACTTTGGGAGGCCAAGGCAGGTGGATCACCTGAGGTCAGGAGTTCAAGACCAGCCTGGCCAACATGGTGAAATCCCATCTCTACTAAAAATACAAAAAAATTAGCCAGGCGTGGTGGTAGGCACCTTTAATCCCAGCAACTCAGGAGGCTATGTCAGGAGAATCACTTGAACCCGGGAGGCGGAGGCTGCAGTAAGCCAAGATCCCATCATTGCACTCCAGCCTGGATGACAAGAGTGAAACTCCGTCTCAGGGGAAAAAAAAAAAAGGAAGAAAAGTTATTCTTTAAGGTAAAAATATATACAATTTCCCAGTCTTTCTACTAATGATTTTTAAATCTAAATTTCCCTCAATCTCTTTCTTCTCAAATCTCACAGTCCATCCTTCCTTTCCTGAAGCAGCTCAAGGCTCTCAGGAATGGGTCATCTTAAAGTCAGGGGTACTCTACTCACAGAAGTCAAGATTCTGGCCTCTTAGATCTAGTTCTGGCTGGCTGCCATTAACTCACCGTGAGACCGTGTGGGTGAGGCACTTCCCTTCCTTAATCCTCAGTTTCCTGCTCTGTAAAGGGAGAGGTTAGATTACCTGACCTCTTTTCTAGCCCTGGCGATCTATAATTCCCTCAGGGAGAAGACAAGTGTCATTCCATCAGGAAGTAAGATATTCATTCCTGCCCTTACAGGTTCTCTCTGGACCACTGCAGAGAGAAATTCCCCTATAGATGCCTACCTTTCTCTTGCTGGCTTAACTAAAAGGACAAGTGCGTTCCAGAAGGAGGCCTTCCTTTAAGAGCCAAACTCCTCCCATCAAAAGGAAAAGAAGTCGAGGCTGTCTAACTCTAACCCTGAATTTTGATAAAGCAGATGGGAGACTGAAAGCAGGTATGGGGCAGGAAGGAGTATGATAAGTATACCCCCCACCGACCCTCCAGACTTAGCACACACCTTGGCTTTGCCCTAGGGAGCCCCACATAAGTAGTAGCTGCTAATCCAACTGAACTGTGTGTGGATGGAAAGAAGAGAGCAAGGACTTACATCCACAGGATTGACGTAAGTATTCAATCAATGTCCATATACTCTCATTCTCTCCTACTTCAAACCTGTAAGAAGCCATGGTGGGAGGAGATACCATATCCCAGTCTTCCCCTTCCCCAAAGTTGGAAAGGAAGAGACACTGAGACAGGAGCTACTTGGCTTCCTATAAATTGTTTTGTCCTTTCTCACAGCTGCAATCAGAAGCTAAGGGCTCCCGCAGGCCTTGTTCTGATCTGCTGCAGGCGATGGAGGGTTTTTGAAACGAAGAGGACTTGGCTGCGGCCCCGTTTCAGCTGCCGTTGGGGCTGGCTAATGGGCTCATTCGGGAAGACCCCTGCCTGCCGCACTAAAGAGTCCCCTGCCGACCCCCGCCCCAGTCCCAACCCAATTAATAAATGGGGGCTCCCACTTTATGGCTCTGGGAGCAGGAATCAGAGATACAAATGACCCCCAGGGAGGGACAGAAAAAGGCCTTCCAAGAATCAAGCCAGAGAATTGTGCATCCACAGGCACATGCTGCCACAGGCTAGTCATATCCCATTTTCAAAGAATTAAAGGGGAAGAAACTAGCAAAAATGCTATTTTCTTTCCCAGATCCAGAGTTAAGATAGCATTCTTGAAGTCTATGGGCACACCTAGCAACAGACTCCCTCTTGCTTGGTTCTTTTCAAACTGAAAAGGGCAGGGTGCATGCAGGTTATCATCTGGACACACAGTACGTGCTTCACTATTCTCCAGGGCAGTGCCCCCTCCTAGACTCTGCAATACTGAACACTGACACATCCTATTAACTGGTTAATAAGATAAAATGCTTCCTACTTAAAAACAAAGCAGTTCCCCCTTATCAAGCTTTCATCACCAACAGCACAAATGTGTCCTGGGATCATCATCCTGAAGCTTTTATTACTCCCCTCACATCCAAGCTGTGACCAAGCCTTGCTAATTACTATTGACCCATTTTCTTTCCTCTGATTCTCCGTGTCTTACTCTAGTTTAAACTCTCACTGCTTCATGTCTTGGCGAGAACAATAATATAGTGAAATTTTCTGCTTTCTTGACCAAGTACTGCTACAAAAGTCCTCAATGTGATTTTCATCTCATTATGCTCTGTTCCCTGTTACTGCTAAACAAATCAAATTCCTCATTCAAGCCAATGAGATTGCTCCTCCAACTTGATTTCCTAATACTCCTTTCCTGTACCATTCTACTCAGCCAATTCACTGCCTCTGCACAAAACACACAGGAGCCCTCTTCCATGAGATTCCTCCCGCTGCTCATCTTCCTCTTCTGTTCTGTATCCCCTATCTTCTTTATTTTCAAATAACTGTTTCTAAATAACTCCACTTTTTCTGATTATTTGCTTTGGTTTCCTCTTATGACACTGTTTTATTTTATAACCCACATTGATATGTTGACTTACAAATACAGATTCCCCACTCTGCACCAGCTCTAAGACTGACCTCTCTCACAAGATCCAGAAGCTTCCTGAAGGTGGGACCCTCCCCCAGTGTTCTTCCTCAGAGGTTGTCCTGTCTGTACTCAGGACATGCTTCTGCTGCTGATATTAATGCTCCCCAGTGAAGCAGCCCTCATGGTGTAACTATTGGGATATTATATCAAACAACCACGAGGAACACAATTTATTCTGTCAATTTCCAAAGAGCCACCTGCCTTGAACTTGGCACTGAATCTTCCCAAGATTACAAATTCCATTTCATGGCTTCAAAGTGTTACAAAACAAAAAACAAGCACAGTCACCAAAGGAATTTACCTCCTTCATTCATGGTATGTAACTACTATTCTCTTTGAAGACATTTTAGGATGAGAAGCTTCATTTTGTTTCCTATTTTTATGATTAATCCCCACATTCTCAGGTCATGACTTAATTTTCCAAAATGAAAAT